TTGTGGGATAGTGTTCTGTGGACTGATGAAACAAAATTAGAACTGTTTGGGCCCATGGATCAACGCTATGTTTGGAGGAGGAAGAACAAGGCCTATGATGAAAAGAACACCTTGCCTACTGTGAAGCATGGTGGAGGGTCAATCATGCTTTGGGGCTGTTTTGCTTCTGCAGGTACAGGGAAGCTTCAGCGTGTGCAAGGTACCATGAATTCTCTTCAGTACCAGGAGATATTGGATGGAAACGTGATGCAGTCCGTCACACACCTGAGGCTTGGGAGACGTTGGACCTTTCAACAGGACAATGATCCCAAGCATACCTCCAAGTCCACTAGAGCATGGTTGCAGAGGAAAGGCTGGAACATTTTGGAGTGGCCATCGCAGTCACCAGACTTAAATCCGATTGAGAACCTCTGGTGGGACTTAAAGAAAGCAGTTGCAGTGCGCAAGCCTAAGAATGTGACTGAACTGGAGGCCTTTGCCCATGAAGAATGGGCGAAGATACCCGTAGATCGCTGCAAGACACTTGTGTCAAGCTATGCTTCACGTTTAAAAGCTGTTATAACTGTAAAAGGATGCTGTACTAGTACTAAGATTGAATGTCACTTGGGGGTTGAATAAAACTGATAATGCTGTGAGCACAGAAAAGACATTTGTGGTTATTTCATTATAACTGTTATGTTATATTTGTCTGACCTACAAGTGCCTCTTTAATGTAAATGTAAGCAAGATGACTGAATGATCAAAAGCAATGTCAAACTGGCCAAAACACTCAATTTCAGTGGGGGTTGAATAATTTTGGTCACAACTGTATTTCATCTGCAGTCCACTAATCATGAATGCACTGCTTTGCAGGCTCAATTCTAGAAAAATAAATGCACTTTTTGCAAAATTGGTGTATTCATTTTTATTTTATTTCTTTGGATTTCACTTGTAATAGGAAAATATGCAGACCTTTGCTAAACTTATAAAAGGGCTGTCTGCTTCTACCAGTTTGAGTTTTACAGTGATTACCTGTGGGTAGTATAGTAAAGAAATCATCTTTTATAGCTGCTGGAACTAAATGCATTACATATTCCTAGTCCTTGTCTGCACTTTTAGTAAACAAAATGGTGTTTACTGTAGTTTAGGCCTCTGATGACATTATTGAAAGCACAGCCAAAGAAAGAGAAAAGGTGGAAGAGATTGCATTTGTAAAGTTGCTTGTTACCTCTGGGTATATAAAGAGCTAATGTATTTTGTTAAATGTTTAACAATGTAGAATAATGCATGTTACATGGTGTGTGTCTGTGTGTAATATATAATTATATTCCTTTCAAACTCATACAGTACAAACAGGAGTGTATGTAAATATGCAATCTTGCATGAGCTTCTAACAAACCTTACATTAACAATGTTAGGATAACTACTTCTCAAGTTCTTTTGGTAATGAAATTCTGTCAGATGGAAGAGATTTGAATTGTGTTTTAAACCTCATTTATGTTACTGATGTTTTTGAGTATTTCTTTTTAAGATTTAAGTCTGGATCTATAGTTTAAAACATCACAATTTAGATTTTGTACCCTCATTTTGTATTTTTAGGAGTGAAAGTATACTTTGACCCCAGTGCAGATACAGGTGTGCTAGTGTATTCATGATTCTTGGAACGACAGGGTCATTTCTGTTACTTGCACTCATTATGTGGTGTTCATTGTTGATGAATTGGTGAAGTGCCAAAAAGATTGACATAAGAATTCAATTTTATGTAAATTTTTACAAAGGTAACAATCTTGTCAACTGTTTTTGTCGTAATATGAAACTGGATATGAAGGAAACCACATTTCATTGGTGGAAATTAAAGACAAAAATGCCAAATTGCACATTCACATACTGCTCTAATTTGTTTTAAAGCTGGAACAAAAAGATAAGAATTCTAATACATGATGTACTAAGTAAGAGGCTTTATTTTTTCATTTTTAACGTTTCCCCTGTAAGAAAGACTTCAGGATTTTTTAATTTGTTTGTGAAAGCCAACTTCAAATAATGCATATACGAGACATAATTTTTTTACTCCCAGTATATGTCAATGCTCAAATCATCCTAGGTGTACCTTTAACATAATAGACATCTACAACTTTTGCTTGGGGACTGATTTATTGACTGTGAAGTTAATCAGTTGTGCACTTCAAACATCCAATCACATTGCAAGGAAATTTGAGGTCAACATCTGCTCACTTAAGCTTGCCACTGTTAATACTCAGAGCAAACCTTTCTTAGAAGAAGAATGGAACCTGCCATTACTGACCTCTCATTCTGAAAAAGTAGCTGCATCACTTCCACACTGACTAGTTGCTTCACTTCCACACTTGAGTCCACTGACATGATCATACCATGATTTTCCTTATTTTATATAATATGGGAAGCGGAAATGATAATTCAATTGGTGATTGCACACATTTCTAATAGGGTATAGGGTTGTGCTTTTGTGAGTAGCAGGGTTGCAGTAGTCAAACTGGGAGCATATTTTTGAAATCCTGTCTACTGGCCAAAACATTTTAATGGGATATAGGGACGAAACATTTTTAATGGGATATAGGGACAACACTTCAGCACTGGCAGTGAGCAGGACAGCAGATGCTGCACCCTTCAACTTGCACCCTTGGATAGAAAAACTGTATAGTTGAATGCTGCTTTGCTACTTATAACTGAGTTTTGTGTGGTATTCTTTATTGAAAGTATAAAATTATTAAGTAGTATCGCATAATGTACAACACTGTTCTCTCCACCACTTTCCTAGTTTTAAATCTTATTTTTTTAATCTTTTAAAATTGTTTGAATCAGCCTTTCTCACATTTTTTTACCCTAGAGGAACCCTTGATATAATTTTCAGGTCTCAGGGAACCCTTGGTAAGATTTTTCCATTGATTTGTCATTGGGAAAATGCCCGTCTGGTGGTCAGTGGTAAGAATGTCATCTTTACAGTAACTTTAAAAGATCACTGATGTCATGCTGCTGGCTCTGCCAAATGGCTTTGGAACTGGAACTATGCAGGCACGGTCAGGTGGGAAGTCAATCAGCCACAGGTCAAGTAACCCCTAGCAAACCTATGGATAAACCTTAATTGAGAAATGCTAAAAAGACAGAAGATGAGTTATCTGCAGCTCCTTCCTTGGTTAAAGTGGTTGTAAAACTCTGAATTGAAAAATGAACAAAACATATCCTTCTATAATATGTGCTTGCCTCAATCCTAAGCACCTATTAATTTCTGGCTGCTCTGTCCTTGCGCTATGTGCATTCACTGCGAATCACTCACTTCTAAACATTAATGCCAACACCAACAAAAATCCCTGCAGAGGTCCCCCAAGCACAAAGCATGCAATTGAGAGCCTCCGCTGCGCATATTTTTCTATGAGACTATGGAGGGAGGAGAGGGAAGGGCATGTCCATTCCTTTCACTCAGGTTTCAGATTAATCTCAGCTTTCCTCTCTGTGCTGTGCAGTGTGTGATGTCCTCACCCCCTACCTCCTGAAGCTCAGAAATGCTGTGTAAATGGTACACTTTGAATGACTGTAGAGAAAAGGGGTCTTCAGATAAACAGGCATAATTTATGTGGGAGGATTGGTTCATCTATGTGTATCATCTGTGTCTAGTCATTTCATTGGGTATATGTAAGGGTTTTACAACCACTTCAACACAAAGTAATTTAGTTCTAACAACACTTTTAAAGTATATATAAACGGAAGAAAATATATCATAGCTTACCAGATGTGGTTGCTGCGTTTTAGTTTTTTTTTTGTTTGTTTTTTAGGCAAGGGGTGTTTTTTGGAAGTTTAGCAAAACACTTGAGCCCTTCTAACTTCCTGTTTTCTGAGCTTAAATCTCAAGTAGTGTCATCAGCTTTTCCAGCTATGTTAAATACAAACCTCGCTCTCATTTATGTTAAGTAGAGGAGCAGGTCTGCGCAAATCAGGAAAGCAGCCTATTGTGATAATGCTGTTCCTCCATAGGTATAATACAAGCAAAGAGTATTGTTACCCAATAACAGAAAATGTGTTATTGGTAGGATCATTAGGTGGAAAAGGAACTGAAAAAAGAAAAATTTTTGCAGCCACCACATCTAAGGACTGGTAGGCTGGGATAAATAATAATTTTATTTTTGTATTTAGATACTCTTTAAGTAAAGCTATTAGATGTACTTACAGGGGCATTTGATGAATTGCATATCTGTTATGTGTTATGACCATGCCAGTATTGATAAAATGAATTCAGTCCTTGTACTGTGATCAGTAATACCTACTGTCGATATGAGGGATTAGGGTGCAGTCTGCAAAAAGAGGCGGTGAAATGCATCTGCGTTGGTCATATCAACCAGATAATGCCTGTTCCCTCTTTTAAGCAAGTCAGGCTTCTAGTAGCTATGCATAACACCTTCACTACATCCATTTTGACAGAATACTTTAGTGTGTCCTTTTCCAGTAATAATGATTGTGTGTTGAACACAACTGTTACAGTTTTATATATACAAGCATTTTAGAAAGCAAAGTCCTGTTTTCACATTTGTGTATTTTCACATTTGCATACATTGTAATTGGAAGTGTAATTATATTAGCGGCAATAGAAAAAGATTGAAGCTGAGATGCATTAAAGGTGTTTTATGGCTTTACATACAATAAACAGTTTACAATTTTTTTTTTTTTTTAAGAAAAAAAGCTCAATATTATTGAAACTTTTTATATTACAAACTAAGAATAAACCAATACTTCCAACTTTCTGTATTCTATCTGGATGTGGAATTCACTTGAATTAATACTTGTTAACTTTATAGAAGCAGCCATCTCTGGTGCATTCATTGAAACCTGATGGCAGAATCTTTACTGAACACATAAATATCCAGTTCAGTCACGTTATGACATAGCAATCTATGGTCCTTACCAAATGGATTGTGTATAGTATGACACAATGAACCTCAATCACCTTTCTTAATGTGAAGATTGAATTGTGTTTTAAATTCTTCTTTCCACAGCCCTGCCTCATCTCCCCAGCTATCACACGATGACACTCACTCACGAATTGAACATTATGCTAGCAGGTATGACTCTATGGCACAAGCATCCAGAATATACTAGAAAGCCTTGTACCGTTTAGCTCATTCCATCAGGAGAGTCTTATGAGGCATCAGAACTACTTCCATGCTCTACAACGATTCACTGATTTTTCCTATGTGTCAGTCTGCCATTAAACCTCTATCTATCTAGCATTTCATGCCTGTTACTCACCAGGGTTTGAGAAATGAAGCCGTAAAATGTATGCAACTTAATTCCGTAACTTCTTTGAAACTATCCCGCTTCTGATTTTTACATTGCATTTTTGTTTGTTAAAATGTTTGAGAATCCATATGCATTTACAATTAAAGATGGCTATTTGCTGATGTAGGATAACTTATTCTGCCAACATTTTTAAATGGGAAAAAAGTACCGTATTTTTCGCTCCATAAGACGCACCTGACCATAAGACGCACCTAGGTTTTAGAGGAGAGAAACAAGAAAAAAAATATTCTGAACCAATGGACTGCAGACACAGTACAGGAGATGATCAAAGACTGCGAACACAGTACAGGGGATGACCAGAGACTGCGGACATAGTACAGGAAATTACCAGAGACTGCGGACACGGTACAGGAGATGACCAGAGACTGCGGACACGGTACAGGAGATGACCAGAGACTGCGGACACGGTACAGGAGATGACCAGAGACTGCGGACACGGTACAGGAGATGACCAGAGACTGCGGACACGGTACAGGAGATGACCAGAGACTGCGGACACGGTACAGGAGATGACCAGAGACTGCGGACACGGTACAGGAGATGACCAGAGACTGCGGACACGGTACAGGAGATGACCAGAGACTGCGGACACGGTACAGGGGATGACCAGAGACTGAGGACACGGTACAGGAGATGACCAGAGACTGCGGACACGGTACAGGAGATGACCAGAGACTGCGGACACGGTACAGGAGATGACCAGAGACTGCGGACACGGTACAGGAGATGACCAGAGACTGCGGACACGGTACAGGAGATGACCAGAGACTGCGGACACGGTACAGGAGATGACCAGAGACTGCGGACACGGTACAGGAGATGACCAGAGACTGCGGACACGGTACAGGAGATGACCAGAGACTGCGGACACGGTACAGGAGATGACCAGAGACTGCGGACACGGTACAGGGGATGATCAGAGACTGCAGACACGGTACAGGGGATGACCAGAGACTGCAGACAGTAAAGGAGATTACCAGAGACTGCGGACCTTTGGGGAGGGTGGGGGAACGGGTACCTGAATTTGACAGGTACCCGCTCCCACTTCCGCGGAGTTGTCCTTCCTTCTTCCCGCGGCGGCTTCTATGACAGCTGGGTGCCAACTGCGTATGCGCGAGAAGCGCTGCGCTTTGTGAATGGCCCGGAGCCTTCTGGGATCTGTCATGTGTCCCAGAAGACACCGGACCATTCACAAAGCGCAGCGCTTCTCATGCATGCGCAGTGGGCACCCGGCTGTCACAGAAGCCGCCGCAGGAAGACTGCAGCAATGGAGCGAGGAACAGGTGAGGTCCTGCAGGAGAGAAAAGCTAAGCGGCCAGCCCGATATTCTGACATGGTGGCGGGCAGAAATACCGGACCGGCCGCTTTACATTCGCTCCATAAGACGCACTGACATTTTTCCCCCCTTTTTTGGGGGGGAAAAAATGCGTCTTATGGAGCGAAAAATACGGTAATTTGCAAGCCAGTAGAGAAAAAAAATTTTCTTTTAACATTTTTTTTTTTTTTTTAAAAGAAATAATCAAAACCAGCATTGGTACACGAATAGCATTTTCCACAACATGGGCCTTTATTTAGGAACACAGAGCGGATGTGATGCATAGCAACCATTAAAATCCATATGTATTAGTTTTAGATGATTCTCTAGGAACGGTTTCCCAGTTGGTTTTTATGAGGCACCACAATCACTGGTTTTTGCATAGTGTTACCCATTTAAGCCTTTAGTTTTTGATACTGATTGTGTTATAAAATATCAATATGCTTTTCATACTGGATTGAAAGGTAATATAATGTTTGAGCTTTTGGGACCAAATTGTTGTATTTTTTTTTTTTTTCTTTTTTGAAATATATATGTGCCCCAAAAGACCATTAATCCTGATCAGCATACATGTCTGAGCGTATTATGGGTTTGAGCTGTATGTTCTCAGGCCTTGATGCCATGGAGCTGTGAAAGACCTGAAACTTAACAGTCACTAAAGAATAAGCGATTAGATATTCTACTTTTAATTATATTGTCCATCTTTGGAATAAATATTCATCCTATACTGGAAACAAATGCTTAAATTATTCAGTCTATTCAACCAGAATTGAGCTGTGTTGTAGTGTAATTAGTTACAGTATGTTGTCTAGTTGCATGACAGGGAATTGTTCAATCCTAGCATGTATATAAAGAGTCAATTATGGCTGAAGTTTGGGTACATGCTACTTCTCTCAGGCAGTAAAGGTGAAGGCATTTAGCGCCACTAGTAGCTTCACCTTTATGAAATCCAGTGGCAGTGCTCTTTTTGGGATATTACCAGATAGGAATTTTGGGATTTTACTTTCCCTTACATACACATCAAGGGACAAAAAACACAGCACTATATACCAATCCTTTCCCACCAATATCATCTAAGCCACTATACTAAACACACCTCTGTAATGTTTACCAATCAGTATATCCAGGGTCTCTCCAGCTTCCAATCTTTAAATCACATAGGCTCTGCCTTTAATGGACACTATACAAACACCTCACTACAACTGTGTTCAGGACTTGCAGCTGGCATTACATTTTCTATTACAGAGATCTTTTTAGCACATTAGGTTAGAGGACAGCAGGTTGGCTGAAATAGGTAGGGTTAGTAAAGACTGGTCTATTTTTAATGTCTTTTTTAGGAAAATTGTTTTACATTGTTTGTTTTACAATTTTCTTCCATCTATCCTGCACGTGTGCTAACTGTATTGCTGAAGGATAACTAACACCTCTGAAAGATATTGCTTACAATTTTGCTTTGGTTCCTGTATAGTTTGACAACAGCATACAGCATTTTTGCATGCCTATGAGTTTTTTGTATGTACTGTTCCTTGATAATTGTCTTACAGTAGCTGCTGTTAATTTCTGTGTGTTTTACTTCAATATTGGAGGCTAGCCATATTGAACTGTAGAAGATGGATATGGTAGTTATTCATTTACTGTTCTACTAATGAAGAATATTAGGAAGATGTGAGCAAATACCATGTATATTTTTGAGATATGTTCTGCACTTCTTAATTCTGTCCGGAATGTTGCCTTTTGTAAGGTGTTTCAGGCAGTATTTGTCAGTTCACATAGCTGAAATAGTGTATTGAGAAGTCAAAGGCAGCCCTTGGAATATAAAATAATAAAACTGTATTGAATTTATTCCAAGTCTATATTGAGATAGTCTATTCATATCTATTCATCTATTCTATCTATCCAATGTACATTAGCAAGGAAATGTTTTAATAGGCTAGCCAGTTGGAAGTGCACACCAAATGGTACAAAAAAATTTTGGCAGAATTTTAACTGGGTAACAGCACATCACATAATACAATATTTTTTTTTAAAACATTTTCATTGGTATTTGCTCTCAAAACATGCAACACAAGATCTAAATATTCTGTGGCTGACTGAATCCTGCCTAGACATTGACTTTTTATTTTTAAAGTACATTGGGATCTTAATATTCCCTTCTGTTATTAAAATACTTTGTAAATATGACATTTGTGTTATCTGTAAACAAAGGTTTAAATCAATATCTTTTTATTTGAATAAAACATTTTGTGCAGTGCTTATAAAATCCATTGACTAGTCCCCAAGGCATTGCGGAGCTTCTGCCAAAAGCTTCTATTTTTTACGGCATTTTGCATAGAATGAGGGTTACATTCTCTTATCGAGCTCTTATTGCCATCTGTGTCCCTGGAGTGGAGATTTCCCCTCACTTCTTGCCTTAGTGACATTAAAATTATTGCTGTAAGCTGATCGTCTTTTTTCCTCTTTTTTTGGATTGTGCAGTAAGGCTGATGACAGGGTTGCATTCTGTTGTTGGATTTTACTTAAGGATATATGATGTACAGTATGTGCTCCAAAGAGGGGAAAGGGAGTTTGGCTCAGAACAGTGCCCTGGGTGCCATTGATCAGGAAGAGAAGGGAAGTTTCCCCCAAAAGGGGCACAGATGGTACTGACATAGGATCTAACCTTTTCCCACTTATTCTAAAGCTAAAATAGAATTTTAAAAAATGGATAAATGGAGCTCTACTGTTTAGCAATATGTGAAAAGTAGAAGTTGTGACTCCATGTTTTTTGTGGATTCAGTTTTTTTCAGTCCCTTCACTGTGTCAGTCCTGTGATACGTTCATGACATCTTTTGTGCTGTACATTCAAGATTTGGAAGTTCTTATAACTGCTAATCTAACCAATGCTAGTCTTTTAAATAAAAATGAGTTTCCTCTAGGGGCTTTAGTATTGCCAGTGCTTGGCTCTGCTATTTTGATAAACAAGTAAACAAGGTGGTTTTTTTTTTTGGGGTAATTTTTGTTTTATTTTATTTTATGTGACTAGACTTGAAATTAAGTGCTTTACTTATGCACAAATTACTGATTAAGCTTTTTATTTATGCTATTTCCTTATTTCCACATGCACCTTAATAGCTCTTTATTGAACAAATTCTGCTAAAAACAAGTCTTCACTTGTACAGATGACTGTATGCTTGAGAGAGTGCTCAATGTACCGCTAAACAGTGCTTTATTTACTATTTAGCAGCGGTACTGTATACGTCACTAAACATCAGAAGAACTTTCCCGGTCTAGCATTGCAAATGTACATCAATGTTATGATGTCCTTCAAGGTTTGGAAGCAGTGGAGTTGAAGTTATCATTCCCAGACCTAAATACATCACATAGTAATTAGGCATTCAAATCTACAAATAGAAGATATCTATCTGTACAGAAATAGTAGACTTGATCGAAAACCATAACCTACAGTCAAAGAGCAGCATGATCTAATGTGTTGCTTCAGAGTGGAGCAAAGCTTTTGAACTAGCATACCCCCTATAGGTGCTACCCTGCTGCTGGGTTAAATTATATGTGACTTTTTCTGACAACAGAGTGGCCCACGTATGCCTGAATCTCTCACATTTAAGATACTCAAGACTTGGCATATGGGTGCCAAGTTGAAGCAAAGCCATAGGTGATGCAGTCTAAGTGACATATTTAAAGTCCTACTCCAGTATTGGTTAGAGCTTTTGTCAGGTACTTATGATCGCCTATGTGCCTATTAGGAAGATTTCCCATCACTTTGTGTCTAGAAAGAAAGTAATAGGAATTCTTCCCAGTGGGGCCAAAACATAACTTTGTTAATATAAGAGCAGGTTAGTATGTTTGACGATGTTTTCATTGCCATCTACTGTATACCTTTCTGTCCTAGTGACAACCACACCCCTTATTTCTTTGCCATGGGTCACCAGAGAAAATGTAATAATTTCAGTCACATGAATTATAAATTGATGACACCTGAACAAGACCAGATATGTGCATAAGATGCCAAACTGCGTAGAGGACATTTCTCCCCATGTATTTAATCAGGTTTTCAGTAATTTCCAATTTATACCTGGCAGGAAGACTGCAAGAAATTCCATGCTGTTGAGCTTTGGCAAAATATAATCATCTTCTTGTAATACTGACAGTGATACAGCATGCATACAACTGTACAAAGTCTGATAAACCTAGTTTGTCTTTTTAATGTTTCCACAGGCTAGCTGAAATGGAAAACAGCAATGGATCCTACCTAAACGATAGCATTTCCCCCAATGAAAGCATGTACGTATAATGACTGTCTTCATTTCAAATGAGTCACTGTATTCTTTAAACCAGTTGAATGATTTGTTTATTTTTATATCTATTAAAAAATAGCTTTTCTATTGTGGATTTGATTATATATGTGAAGCAAAATTTCACTTTCTAACAAATTTTTTGGGGCATTTAGAAACAATTGAGTACTGCCCATCATTTTTTTTTTCTATGTTTAATTTGCACTAACATCCAAATTTTGAGGACAAGCTTACGGGATGTAACCTCAAGCAGTTCTAATGCACAAAGTTTTAGCAGAATATTAATAAGACCGTATCTAAGGGGGGGAGACACAAACGCACTCAGCCATGGTGATAAAAGGTAGGGAGAGTGTTATGGACTGGGAGGGGGTAAAAAGTCATAAAAACTGTTGTATTGCGATTTAGAAAACTGAGATCCACATTTAGTCTATTATCTTTTGTGTCAAATAGAATTATCATTCTTGGTTCCACAATTTTTTTGGAGTAGTTATGAAGTACCCTTTAAGAATTAAAACATTTATGTCTTCCATAGTGTGGTCCGGTTTTAAGAAATTATGTCCCACAAGTGTGCAGAAAACATCTTTCCTATGCTCTTTAATGGTGTCTGTGGAAATTTATCCTCATTTTAATTTCCGCCCTGTTTCAAAAACCCAAGATCCTTTGCGGCATTTTTTTGCATTGGATGAGGTATAAAACATTACTGGAGGTACAGGTGTATGATCTGGTAATATCGAAGGTCCCTTTTGTGCAAGTGTCACTTTTTATTTAATTGATTTGGCTGCAGTTTGCAGTGTTTTTTTGTCACATGGCTTGGTTCTTTTATTTGCGACTTCATTATCAGAATTAAGTTTCTTGCTGATTAGTTTGCCTGAGGTCGGGTGGTTGCCTGAAGGCCAGCATTGGGGGTTATTGGAATGTTTCTTTCCTCTGGTATGATAGGTTGCAAATATTTGGTTTTAATCATCTCAAGCATGATAGCATTGAATATTACTCTCCCATTAGTATTTACACTTTTTTTTTTTTTTTTTGAAGGGAAACAAATTATTTTTTTTTTTCATTTTAATGTATTAATCTTTTAAAACGTGTATATTTTTATAGCAATTGCTCGATTATAAATGGCGGGCAGCCATTTATATCCATTGCATATGTAGGCTTTGCTTCCTGCTTTATGAGTACAATCTTGCTGTACTCTTTTCTGTAAGGGTCAGGACTGAAAATGAGACGCTTTTCAGAGTCATTAAATTGTAAAGTCAAAACTTTTTTATTGGTTTTTAATAGAGTGATGAGGGTTTATAATCCCAGTTAGTTTTTTGGTTTTGTCTGTATCACTGGTATAAATATTTACACTCTCTATTTGTCTTGGTGATCATTTTCACAGTGGTAAAGTGATGGAAAATGTATATATATATATTTTTTTAGTTTTCTTTAGAATAGGAGGTGAGGAGAAATTTTTTCAATGAGAACACTACCTGTTCTGGTGACAACTATTTAAGAAGGGATTTCTTTTCACTTCCTGTTGCCTCTCTAGAGAAGAAAGCCAGCAATAAATAAAATGGCAGGTGTTTGAGCCATTTCCTACTATATCCCAGCAGTTGATCATATTTTCACTACCTAGTGGATCACTGCCCCAGGAACCACATACAGCCAGGAAAATCTGAATTCCCAATGTGCATCCTTGTTCAATGACTTATTAGGTATTCAATCCAGGATCAGCATGACGGCAATAAATTTGGGACTTTTCTAACATAATTCAGCATTGGTAGCTTCCTTATATCTATTATGACATGTACTTTTTAAACCTGTGTTGGATGCACTCAAATAATGTGGCATTTTGTGCAAGCTAAATACTGTAGCATGTACTGCACTTCCACTGCACTTGCATTTGCACTTAAGATGTAGTATGCCTAAACGGATGCAGTGAAGTCTTACCAAGTGCAATAAAGTAAAAAAGCAATATTGTATGTACCCTTTCCCTTTCAATTTTTACCACATACTAGGAATTAGCTGTTTGTGAAGAAGATTTCATCACTACTTGTACTTTCACTTGACATTGGAGAAGAAAACTGTCCCAGTTATAAGGCAGGTCTAGTCAAGTGACTTTTTGGTAGGCTGATCTGACAAGCTTTTCTCATAGTGGACGACACATCAAAAGAAGCAGACACATCAAAAGAAGTCCTATCATCACTTAAAAATGCATCTGTTGTAATCGTTCATCTTGTTCATATTTCATTATGAATGCTATCTTTTAATGTTTGCTGCTTCTTTTAAGTACCCTTTTAGTATTCTCATGCCTTGGTGATTTAGATTAATTTCCTGTGCCTGCCTGTTCACAGGACAGATTTGGAAGGTGATAAAAGACTAATAGCAATTGACATATTGCTCCATCTCACTATAGATTGAAGCTAATGCAAATACAATAATTTTGCCTGAGGAAGATAAATGGTTGCTGTGTCTAAATAACGATTTCTGCTTTATTATTACACAATTAAAAGCAAACTACTCTGTTAACTGGATGTGTTTACCCATGTAACACGGTACTGAGAACAGAATGTTTCCTTTGCATTTACTTAGAGACTTCAGCATTGGGGTGTTTTTTCATCATGTATGTTAATATTTTATTGCTTTTGGGACCATTCATTTTTACTATTACATTGCTATTGATGATGGAGAACATTTAAAGGATGATTTAAATTAAAAATATTTAATTATGTGTATTTTCCTGTGCACTTCACATGCCGTTTGCATGTTTTACTCACGTACAATACATGTTTGCATGTTGTTACCACACATAGTACGTTGTTCCTACACAAAACAAATTATTTTGATACTGTGGGTAATCTTTCAAATCCCGATGACATATCATTTTCATAAAGGTCAATTAGGTCAAGATAGGAAGTCTGATGTGTACAAAAATTATTTCCAAATAAAAGCAACTGTAAATACAGTTTGTGTGTATGTATATATATATGTGTGTGTGTGTGTGTATATATATATATGTGTGTGTGTGTGTGTATATATGTATATAATTTTTTTTTTTTTTTCTACTTTATTTTAATGCTTAATGAGTTTTCCTCAACTGGTTTTGAGTTTATTATCACATATTTTGTCACCTTGAAGACTATGAAAGTTTTCACTCCTATAATCTAGGTAGTTTTTTTTTTTTTTTTTTTTTTTTGTTTTTTTTTATTTTAGGCTAATCAAGAATAATTTGTGATAAATTACTTCATACTAGCAAATTACATATAACCAGCTATTTTTGATAATTGCAGGGTAATACAGCAAGTCAATTTAAAGATGTAAGCTTCCAACAGTGTGCACTTGAGATGCAAGTGAAGGTGGAACCATGTTTGTTTTGACCATGTTTGGGTTACCATTGCAGCCAGCAGTGAGAAACTCTACTTCTGGGCAGTGCTTTCATGGAGCTGTGGAGAGATTTCATGTTTACTTTTCACAATGCCCTGACTTGCAGGATGCTAGCATAGTCTATGATGGGCAGAATGGGGTTTACAATATACAACTTTTCAAAATACAAACTATTTGTATATGTGCAACATAAGGTTATATATTCAGACTTGAAAATAGCTTTAAAATGTTTTTGCTCTAAATTTTTGGAGTTTAAAATATTTACTCTTATTGATTTACACTAAACATTAAACATACAATTCTAAAACTTTTTTTTTTTTCTTAAATTGGGCATATTGTGCCATGCACTTGAGCCTTCAGTTGTATAAAAATTTAGGCATAAATATTCTATTTCCCAAGCCAGGATTGCACTGCATTAAAACTGATTTTAACTGTGGAGAGCTGTGTGAATGTAAATTATCTTTTTTTTTTTTTTATTTTTTTTGTTTCCTGCAGAGATGATGAGCACTTGCTTATCCAGCACTACTGCCAAAGCTTGAACCAGGAGTCTCCTCTAAGCCAGCCCCCGGAGTCCTGCTCAGATTCTAATCTCCTTGGAAAGTGAAGAGCGAGGGGGGACTTGAGAGGATTCTTGCTGACTTGGAAGAGGAGAATAGGTTTGTTCAAAGTTATGAATATTTACAAGTCTGTATCTCTTGAGGTACTGTTGCTATAAAAAAAAAGAATACTCCTAAGAACTATGCTGCTCCACAGATCCCTTTTGAGAATTACTGAACCTCCACCACTACTGGCATCCTAGTGTCTTACATTGAAGAGGTTTAGGTTATACTGGCCATAAACATAGAGATATTATTGTACAGCACTAATCAAAACTACTGATTTTAGTTGTATTTTCTTTTACTAGTAGACATGTGCATTAGGAATTATATATATCCTGGAGGTGACTGTGCTATGGAATGTGATTTAGCATTGTTAGAAAATTATTCAAAGCAGTGGTTACTACAGTGTTTATAACTGTCAGTCCATGCACTTGAGAGAGAATATTCTCATGGAGTATGATATTGATACAGTGCCTTGAAATACTATTCATACACCTTTTAATTTTCCACATTTTGTCATGTTACAACCAAAAACTTACATTTATTTTATTGGAATTTTATTTGATAGACCAACATAAAATGGCACATAATTGTGAAGTGGAAAGAAAATGATAAATGGTTTTTCAAAATGTTTTACAGTTTATGTGAAAAGTGTGGTGTACATTTGTATTCAGCCCCCTTTACTCTGATACACCTAACTAAAATCTAGTGGAACCAATTGCCTTCAGAAGTCTCTAATTAGTAAATAGAGTCCACCTGTGTGTAATTTAATCTCATTATAAATACAGCTGTTCTGCGAAGCCCTCAGAGGTTTGTTAGAGAACATTAGTGAACAAACCGCATCATGAATGCCAAGGACCGGTCAGGGATAAAAAAAAATCCCAGCTTTGAACATCTCATGGAGCACTGCTCTAATCCATCATCCGAAAATGGAAAGAGTATGGCACAACTGCAGACCTACTAAGACATGGGCGTCCACCTAAAACTGACAGGCCGGACAAGTAGAGCATTAATCAGAGAAGCAACCAAGAGGCCCATGGCAGTATCATGTTGTGGGGATACTTTTCTTCAGCAGGGACAGGAAAGCTGGTCAGAGTTGATGGGAAGATGGATGGAGCCAAATACAGGGCAATCTTAGAAGAAAATCTGTTAGAGTCTGCAAAAGACTTGACACTGGGGCAGAGGTTCACCTTCCAGCATGACCCTAAACATACAGCCAGAGCTACAATGGAATGGTTTAGATCAAAGCATATTCATGTGTTAGAATTGGCCAGTCAAAGTCCAGATCTAAATCCAACTGAGAATCTGTAGCAAGACTTGAAAATTGCTGTTCAAACGCTCCCCATCCAATCTGACAGAGCTTGAGCTATTTTGCAAAGAAGAATGGGCAAAAATATCACTCTCTAGATGTGCAAAGCTGGTAGAGACATCCCCAAAAAAGACTTGCAGCTGTAATTGCAGCTAAAGGTCATTCTACAAAGTATTGACTCAGGGGGGCTGAATACAAATGCACGCCACACTTTTCACATATTTATTTGTAGAAATTTTATAAACCATTTCTCATTTTCTTTCCACTTCACAATTATGTGCCACTTTGTGTTGGTCTATCACATACAATCCCAATAAAATACTTTTATGTTTTTGGTTGTTACATGACAAAATGTGGAAAATTTCAAGGGGTATGAATACTTTCAAGGCACTGTATACAGTGTTAGGCAAAGCTATAAAAGAAAAATATTAGAGGATGATCATTTCAGATTATTGCTGAAGGACCAAATAGTTTGAATAGGCAGCAACCAGAACAAATAGAATTCTGGGTTGCACCACTAGAGCGATTGCCATCAGGAGTAAGAAGGTCTTGATTCTACTATATCCAACTTTAGCTACATCTCATTTAGAATAATCTGTCCAGTTCTGGAGACCCAACTTGCAAAAAGGTATTGGTGAGGTATAATGAGCCCAGAGATGGTGCAAGGTCTGCTTGATATCAGAAGACACTGCTCTATAATGGTATTGCACCTCCTCTTCTGGAGTCTACCTCCGGAGCTGTCAACTCCTCGTCTTCTGGATGCGCCCCCATAGGAAACTATATGCTATGGAGCACATGTGCGATAGGCCATGCCCCCATTTCCTCATAGAATTTGACTGACAGCAGCAGGAGCTAATGGCTACCATTGCTGCCTGTATATGCTTTGAGATGGCGCTGGATCTAGATAGAACTCAGGTAAGTGTTTCTATCTCTTGAGGGGCACAATAAGTGGAAAAACATTTTTTTACCTTAATGCAGGTAAAAACATAAGAATCACTTTAAATACCTTACTGGTGTAAATGTTTTAAAGTCCAACCACAGTGCGATTTTTGTCAGCAGGTCCCAGCCAATAATTCATGGCTGAGAACTTCTAATCGACTGTGTCCAATCACAGCAGAGTCCTATGTACAAACATACAGGTCTCTGTACACTGAGAAAAAAACAGCCAGATATAAATGTAAAACAGCACACATTACATATTGCTGGGCAGAACTCCTTGATTGCCCCTATATTTTAACCCCTTCCCAGCCAATCTCATTAATATCGTGTCATTGTACAGTATTATCCCTGATAACTGTATTAGTGTCACGAGCAATGTCAGTTAGTGACGCGTTAGTGTCTGTTAGTGCCAGATTGCCCACCACCCTATCACAGTCACACTATAGGTTGCTGACCACCGCCATTACAATATAGCATGTACAGCTGAATTCATTCCACTAATTGCACAAACCAATTACTATACAATTTGAATACAACAGAATATAATTTGGTCTAAATTTATGAAGACATTTGCTTTTTTTGGGATTGGATATGTTTTATAACAGCAACTACAAAATACAGTTTTTGGGGGTTTTTTAATTTTTGGTCTTTTTTTTTTTTTTTATTGCGAAGAAAAAAACCCAGTGGTGATCAAATACTACAAAAGAAAGCACTATTTGTGTGAAAAAAAATAAATTTAATTTACGTACAGTGTTGCTTGACCGCGCAATTGCCAGTTAAAGTAGCACAGTGCTGAATAGAAAAAATGCTCTGTCATTAAGGGGGTAAAACCTTCCAGAGGCAAGCTGGTTGAACATGCTTGGGATAAACACTGAAGTACACTAACATAAAAACACACACAAACACAAAAAAATAGGCACTTTATGGACCACTTTTTAAAGTAGAAACCTTTGTTTATTTTCCAAACAGGAATTTGCAGTCTGAATATGACAGATTGAAGGAGCAGCATGATCACAAGGGCTTGTCCCCACTGCCCTCCCCTCCAGAAATGATGCCAGCCTCCCCACAAAGTCCACGTGATGCAGAACTTATTGCAGAAGCCAAACTACTGCGCCAGCACAAAGGACGGCTAGAAGCTAGAATGCAAATACTAGAAGATCATAACAAGCAACTGGAGTCTCAACTGCATCGGCTCAGACAATTGCTGGAGCAGGTATGGTACAAATAACTAGTATGGGAATCTTGACCCAGGTCAACCCCTAAAACACAATAGTTTTGATAGGTGACCAGGAGAAGGGTGGCAGTAGCATGAACTTCTACTTTCGGATTCTTAGAATTATTAAAGCAGTCCACCTTTTCTCCTCCTGTAAGTGTGGTTGATTTTATGTGCACCTTTCTTGCATGCGCTTGTGGTTTTGTTTACTGTTGGGTAATACTGAACCTGCTATGGATCTAACGGGAAACAGACAGTGAGGGATACAGTATTGTCAATGGGTGATCAAGCAGTACAGATTACTTTGGATTCAAATATTTATTAAATCAGTTGGTGGAGCTGCATTAGTGGGAAAAAGAAAATTCTTAACTATTTATATAAAAATTTATATTTTGTTCTGCTGGTTACTTGGTGTTATTGAATGTTTTAAGTCATCCTGCTGAGGTGTTATGGAAGCCTAGGTTGTATTGATAGTGGCCTTCAGCTTGTCTGCATTGTTGGGTCTGGTGTCTCATCTTCCTCTTGACAATACCCCACAGATTCTCTATGGAGTGTAGGTCAGGCGAGTTTGCTGGCCAGTCAAGCACAGTGATACCATGATCATTAAATAAGGTATTGCTACTTTTGGCAGTGTGGGCAGGTGCCAAGTCCTGCTGGAAAATGAAATCGGCATCTCCATAAAGCTGGTCAGCAGAGGGAAGCATGAAGTGCCCTAGAATTTCCTGGTAGAGGGCTGTGCTGACTTTGGACTTGATAACAGTGGACCAACACCAGCAGATGACATGGCTCCCCAAATCATCACTGAGTGTGGAAACTTCACACTGGACCTCATGCAACTTGGGTTCTGTGCCTCTTCATTCTTCCTCCAGACTCTGGGACCTTGATTTTACTTTAATCCGAGAAGAGGACTTTGGATCACTGAGCAATAGTCCAGTTATTTTTCTCCTTAGCCCAGGTTAGATGCTTCTGACATTGTCTCTAGTTCAGGAGTGACTTGACACAAGGATTGCGACAGTTGTAACCCATGTCCTGGATACGTCTCTGTGCGGTGGCTCTTGAAGCACTGACAACAGCCATAGTCCACTTCTTATGAATCTCCCCCAAAATCTTGAATGGTCTTTTGCTTCACAATCCTGCAGTTATCCTTGTTGCATGTGCATCTTTTTCTACCACACTTTTTCCTTCCACTCATCATTCCAGTAATATGCTTGGATACAACACTGTGAAAAGCCAGTTTCTGTAACAATGACCTTTTATAAAGTACCCTCCTTGTGGAGGGTGTCAATGACTTCTGGACAACTGTCAAATCAGCAGAGACCATTTAAAGGCTCAGAAAACCTTTACAGGTGTTTGGACTTAATTAGTTGATTAGAGTGTGACACCATGAGTCTACAGTATTAAACTTTTTCACAATATGCTAATTTTCTGAGATACTGAACTTTGGGTTTTCACTAGCTGTAAGCCATAACCAAAATTAAAAGAATGAAATACTTCAAATGTATCACTCTGTGTGTATTGAATCTATATAATATGAGTTTCACTTTTTGAATTGAATTAGTGAAATACACTTTTTGATGATATTCTAATTTGAGATGCATCTGTACAGTAGTGAAAAGTTCATCCAATGGAAATAGTTGACTTTTAAAACATACCTAAACAGGCAATTTATTAGATCTTAAATACAAACCGTTCTTACAGATAAGGGTGTTATATTAGAACACATGACACATAACTGATAATGTGTATTCATTTTCATGATCAAAATTAGCAAATGCATATTTGTCAAAAGTAATTACACCCCTACATTTGCTATCGTTTCAAATCCATGACATTAGAATCTGGTGTTCAAAATTAGGTGCCAATGACTGGAACCTCCTTAGGGAATGTGCAAATGGGAACATCTAGAGTCTAATGATCTCATTGCTATTGACGTATGTGGTGTCCTCATGCTAATATCAATAGAGCTTTGCAAGGCCCTCAGAAAAAAGGTTCTAAATGCCTATGAATCTGCCAAGGGATTTAAAGAATGCATAATTTGATTTCAAATCATTCCTCTATAGGGAAGATAATCTACAAGCGGAATAGGTTTCAGATAACTTACTTTGTCCAGGACTAACTCACCCATCAAATTCAACCAAAGAGCTCCCCATTTGTTGCTTTAAAGTCTCCAAGAACACCAAAATTTCATCATGGAATGTTCAGGCAACTCTTTCCACAGTTTTGGTCAAAGTGCATACATCTACAATCAGAAATACATTGCACAAGTTCAGCTTGCATAAGTGGTGAGGTAAACCAGTGCTAAATTTACTTTTCCTTCCAGGGTTCTTGTCCCTTGCCAGCACCTCCTTCTAGGTGCTGATCTTTGGCTGTCTCCATTGGCTGGCACAGAATAATGTCACTCCTGCCCATGCACAGGAGTCGGTCATCCCCGCACAGGGACCATCCAGGCAATGTAATCCGATCTGCTCATGTGCATATCTGTTTACAAGCCGAGGAATGCTGCAAGAAGGCAGGTAGGTGTATTTTATTGCAGAAGAGACATTGCATATCTCTTCTGCAATAGAGAACCTGCCTGCTTGCAGTTTGAAAGAGCAGAACTTTAGTTCTGTTTTAAGAAAACACCTTTGCTATCAAAAGTAAACATTAGAGCAAAGTTACCGTTTGCCATTAAACATATAGGCAAAGACCAGGTCTTCTGGAACTATGTGCTGAAGAACGATCAATCCGTATCAGAGCATGTGAAGGATGGTGGTGTAAATCTTGTGGTCTTGGGGTCGCTTTGCTGCTTCAGGGCCTGGGCAGCTGTTAGGGATCCGGGTATGACCAGAAATGTGTGGACTGACACAGGGAAACGCAGACTTCAGGTATAGTGTGAATAAGACAATTTATTAAGACTAAACAAAACATAGACGCAGTGCAAGACTAAACAACAACACAGTGCAAACAAACCAACCCAAACCTCCAACAGATAACAATACTAAGCGTAGTCGGGCAGGCCGGTTCGGTAGCAAACGGGCAGGCAGGGCACAAGGAGCAGGCGGAAGAGTAGTCAGGAATAGCCGAGGTCAGGACAGGCGGAGTTCATGTAGAGTCAGGGATCGAAGCAGAATCTGGATCAGGCAGAAAGCAGACAGGATGCAGGTACAGGGGCCCATGGGAAACATACACCAAGGCCCTGATCACAGGCCTGGCCTTTCCTTAAATACACCTGTTGTAATCAGCTTGAGGTGATGGCTCATTGCAGGAGTGAGCCTTTGGTTGCTGAGAGCACCCGCTTGCCAGCCCTGGTACTGCAGCCCACAAGGCAGGTGAGTTCTACCACCACTGGCAAGTCCATTCCTGACAGCAGCCTGCAATAATTGTGTCAACTATACATTCTGTGTCATTTCAAAGTGTACATGGTGAGAATTTGAGTACATCAGTTCAAAAGTTGAAGATGAATTGGTTTGACACAATAATGATCCAATACATACTAGCAGATCATCCAAGGATTGGCTCAAATAAGAGACAGATGATTCTTTCAAAGCTAGACAAAACTCTTATTTGATTCCTATTGAAATTTTGTAGGGGAGTTTTAAAATACAAGGAAGCCCACATACATTTTGCAACTGAAGGTATTTTGCACGGAGAAGTGTTCAGATTCGTATCAGAGACTGGTGGGCAGTTATACAAAGTACCTAAAGAAGTCATTTTTGCTAAGGGGGGGGGGGGGGGGGGACAATACCAGCTTTTGTTGTCAAGGGAGAGTTCTTACTTTTCTCACAGTACACTATTACATCTATTGGTATTTTTGTTAAATGATTGAAAAGGAAAATCTTCCTGTGTTCTTGGGTATATAACCTTTATCTGTAGAACTATTTAAATAAAGATCTGATGTTTACGTGTTTAAATATATTGAAAAAAGTCAACTGTATATGTATTTGTCTCACCAAGCAAAAGATTTGTGCTTTTATTCAGCCAGTTCTGTAATCCACACACCCTGCCACACAGCAAGTCTTTTATTCTTCTAAACTATACTGAAGGTAAAGGGTTCATACCAGCGAAAACTGATCTGTGAAACCACTGTAGTTATCACTATATTGTCATATTAAGCCATAAGTTGAACAGGGAAGACTTAGGCTCCATGTACACGAGCAGCTCCTAAACTCGAGTTTAGGAGCTTTTGGCATTTTTTTTTTTTTTTTTTGCCAAAGCTCCTAAACTCAACTTCATAAAAGCCTTTGTGTTCATGTACACATAGGCTTTTAGCAGAGTTTAGGAGCTGCTGCGTTTAGGTGAGGTTAAACCGCCCTCTCCTGAATGCAGAAGAATATCGTTCAGGATAGGAAAGTTTTCACCGCCAACTGCGGGAAAACACAAAGTCACGGTTGCCGTGCTTTTGCCACAATTTGCAGTTTCCCGCAGTCGGGGTAGGCTCGTGTGCATGGAGCCTTATGATGAGCACAGAGTCCCGTACATCATGCAAGAGTTGTTTGTTTCCTGAGTAGCATAGCTTTGTGGACAGAGCCTGTGTTGATCAGTGGAGATGCAGCAGCTGTACAGACTCGCCCACACATCCAAGATTGAGAGGTGTGCAGGGATGGGTGTATAGCACACATTTCAAACTCAGATGTATGGGTATCTCCATAAACTAACACAGGATGCCTGCATGCCGCTCAGTGCTGCACTGGAAACCTATATAAAATTCTGCTGCTGCATAAATGAGCCCTAAAGCGATGTGTTCTTGACAAATGCCATATTTGACATTCCACGTGTATTAAAAAACAATGTTTTTTTGATTGTACTGTATTGCTTTTTTTTTTTTTTTTAGCCGCAAGCCGAGGCAAAGGTCAATGGTACAACCTTTTCCTCTCCTACTCCCTCACTACAGAGATCAGAGAGTAACCAGCCTATGTTGCTTCGTGTGGTTGGCAGCCAAACATCTGAGTCTATGGGTAAGGAATTTAGCTGCAGAGCACAGTACTTGCTGATAAATGCAAAAGCAGGTCTTATTTGTTAATGCTCAACTAGTATTGTTATAGTTTAGTTCATATTCATGTCCTAAAGTGAAATTCTTCTGCTAACAAAACGCAAATCCAATACATTAGAAGTTCCTAAGTAGTTGGCTTATCCCATCTTGCTCAGGGTCTCGTCTTAAAAGACTAGAGAGATCAATCGTAACTATTGCATGTGTGTGATTTTTTGTTTTTTTGTTTTTTGTTTTTTAACCTACATTAACCACTTGCCCTCCTGAGGATTTACCCCCCTTCTTGACCAGGCCTCTTTTTGCTATACAGCGCTGCACTGTTTCAACTGATAATTGCGTTGTCATGCAATGCTGTACCCAAACGAAATATATGTCCTTTTTTCAGACAAATAGAGCTTTTCTTTCAGTGGTATTTGATCACCTGTGTGCTTTTTATTTTTTGCGCTATAAACAAAGACAGAAAATTTTGAAAAAAAAATTTTGTTTTTACTTTCGGCTATAAAAAATAAATAGTAAACTCAAAGTTAGCCATAAATGTAGGCCAAAATGTATTCTGCTACATGTCTTTGATAAAAAAAAAAATCCCAATAAGTGTATATTGATTGCTTTGTGTGAAAGTTATATCGTCTACAAACTATGGTATAGATACTGCAATTTACACCATTTTGTGCTGTACAGCACTGCACTAGTTTAACTGA